AAGGGGGAAAAATCCAAAACCTTTGTTCAGAGACTATCATTTCGATGTCTGCATGTCCAAAATTTTGTGGCAATTGTCGTTAGTATTTGCATTGTCTCTGTCACGCTTATTGGTCAGCACAAATTTATATCCAAAATCTCATTAAATCCTTAAGAGTCTTACTTTTCATCAAAAGTCCCTGTTTCAGCACAAATACAGCATAACAAGACTTAACCTAAAGCAGAGCGAGCAGTATTTATATATAAATTGTACATTAAAGTTTCACATTTCACCCCTAAACAAAACATAATGGACTCAACCAAAAACAAGCGTCTATTTCTTTTCTAATTATGTATTTACATGATCATGATCAACCAAAGCAAACCTACTTTAACAGCAAACCTATTGTAAAAATAATACTATGACCACAGCAGATTTCGTACAGAAAATAACACGTATCTCAGGGTAATAGTGGATATTAGCAAACCGAGAACAGAAATAACACCCGAGGTGGAACTGTGAGTGTTTTCAGTTCAAGGGTTGCTGATAATCACTATTACCCTGAAAGACGTGCTTTTTTATTATATTGAACTAACATTTTAATGGGTTTTATTACTGCCATGCATTAACATCGGTATTGCGGCCAGGGGAGAGAATTAGAACTAACATTACGTTGTATTAAGTCAATATAGATTACTTGCCCCTGGGAAATATTGCAAGGTTATATTTCAAAAAAACTATTTTTTTTGAATTTTTATCCCTAATTTTGACTAAGGGTTTTAAAACAATATAATTTTAAAATTGGCCCATTCAAATTATTTTAAAATTGTACACTAACAAGTAATTTTTTTATTGTTTTTTCATATTTTTTGAAACAATAAATTTAATTTTTAAAGTAACTTTTTTTGTTTTTACAAAAACCACTTGCTATAACTAAAACATGGAACTTAAAATTCTATCACTATTACCGATAATATGCAAAATATACCCCCTATATACTATAAAAAAACACAAGGAATGAAAAACGCCTTTTCCCCACCCGAAAATAATTTACGCGAACAAATCAACAAAACAACGGACGAAAATAATCATCTGGCCATTTCGATAAACAATACATAATGCATCAAATACCACCGATAACTTTTTTTAATTTCGTGCTATATATGAATAATTCAACATTTTTTTTGATTATTTCCTGCGATCTGAGTTTGTCGCCGACTCCATTTCGTGACGTCACTGGATGTTTGATTCGAGGAGAATAATATTTATTAATATTATTTTTTTAACAAGTTCCAAAATAAAAACAAGTTTGCAAGTAAAATACTGTCAAACTAGAACAAATGACTGATTTATTTCTTACAAACAGGGCTGAATTTACTTTTGATGGGCCATATCAAATAAGTACTCAATTTTTTTTTTTAAAAACGAAAGTACTATTTCAAAGATTTACCGTTCTTGTTTGCGGGGTTTCCCTTTCAAATGTATTTATAAAAGTAATTGTTAAAAAGGTTTTACATGAAGATGTTTAAATCTACTTTTACATAGAATAATTTGGTATAAAAGTTTTTATACATACCTGTTTTTTTGGAACTTATTAAAAATAATTTCAATAAAATATTATTCTCCTCCATTCAAAATCCAGTGACGTCACGGAATGGAGTCGGCGACAAACCTCAGATCGCAGGAAATAATCAGAAAATGTTTGAATAATTCCTACACAGCTACGCGATTTTTAAAAAGTTATCGGTGGTATTTGATGCCATTTATGTATTGTTTATCGAAATGGCCAGATAGAATAATTTGATCGGGTTTTGTTTTGTTGATTTGTTCGGCGTAAATTATGTTCGGGTGGGGAAAAGGCGTTTCATTCCTTGTGTTTTTTTATAGTATATAGGGGGTATATTTGGATATTATAATTAATATTGGTTATTTGATAGAATTTCAAGTTCCTGTGCTGCAACACAACGCATTTTGACGTATCCGCCTGCAATACGGTGACGTGTAACAAAGATGAGGTATTCTTTGAATATCATATTATGTCATAGGTTATAGTGGAACTTAGTATTCACTTTATTACGTCACTAAGCGGTTCTATGAAGTACTATGAAAAATAAAAGGCTAATATGAACGGAATTCAATATAGTTTCGACTTTTGTTCTTCAATGAAAATTAACACACACAATTTTAAAGAAATATGTACAGCGTTTTCATTGGATGACAAATAAAGCTGGACACTTAATATAGATATTATAACTTTTGCAATATGAGGCAAGCGAATGCACATTTTCAAACGTCTCTTTAATTTTACCTAGTCTTTTATTTTGATATATATTATTATATTTAAAGTTTTTGTTGATGTCACCCTATTCCAGATTTGTATGGTAAAAACAATTAAGTCATCAAGTAATGGACATACCAATTACATGCTCGGATGCGCAACTTCAACGGTTTGTATTTATTTTCATAAATTTCTGTGACTGTGATTAGATGCAGTTACAATTAATGACTTTCTGCCCCAGTTTCCATCTTCGTTTATAGACTAGTCGTCTATTACCGTACTGTGCAATTTTTCCCTGGTCAAATTGACCAATTTTCTTTAAAATCGGTGAAGATAATAACGAATTATGCCGAATTTTCTTGGATGTTCAAAAACAAAATCTGGAACTTCAACCTTTGATATCTAAACAAGAATATTGCACGTCACAGGTTGTCTTTTCCAAGGAATAAAATAACATTTAAAGGAATTTTCGCATTCTCTGTTATCATACTTCGTTTTCACATTGTCATTTCGATTGTTATAATATAGGCAGCCTGTCAAAATCATTAAATGCATAAATTAAAAATTTCAAAGGTAATACGACCGTATGTATATTGTAAATTGCTAATTGTTCTATGGTTATATGTAGTATTGTGCAACTGGATCAAAACGGGAGCTTCATTCAAGATCATTGAGTATTGACTGTTGTAACAACGATCTGTGTAATATGCCCCAAACAACACCAGCAACAACAACAGCAGCAAAAACAACAACAACTGCATTAACAACAACAGCAGGTACACAAAGAGAAATTGATATTAACAAATTATAAAGTGCTGAGTTTTCATGATTAAATTAAGCAAGCACCATGTTTAATTTTATGAGGTCATTGAGTTCAATGAATTCTTCTGGACGAATACACAGGTGTCAAACCTATATTAGACGAGTCGCTAGACGAGTCTGAAAAAGATCTTGTAGCTGTGTACGAGTCTAATAGAATTAGTGTTGTTCTCAACAATGTATAATGGCCCCTTTTGTTTTTCACTTCTGACTCATTCGAGAATAATAATTAATTTTTATCAAAGTAATGAAAAAGTTCGGAAAAATAGATTTTCTATATAGGATCTGAATAATACATATTCTAAAACTAATACGATATTCGTACATATTCTGAGACAGATGTTTCAATAAGTAAAATCACCTTTATTTAAGCGCCAGATCCGTGCATATCCAACCCATGCGTTTTTGGCACGTGCTCAACAAGTTCGGATAGCTTCAGATGTACTTGTGATCACGGATACACCGGCCGGATTTGTGATACATGTAATGAATTTTCTTTTATATCTTTTCGAATACTAAAATATTTCTGAATAAATGCTCGTCATTTAATTTTCCAGACATGATTGCATGCGTATATATATAAGTATACGACATTGCTTGATCGTTGGCTCAGTATTGTTTATAAATTCTCCCCTTTAATATATGCATTAAACGGAAACATGTGTAAAAATAAATTATAGCGAGCGGCAATGAGGAAGTATTTTTCTATGGTCTTGCATTCATATTTCCATTCTATAACTACTAAAAGAACTTAAAATAGAATCTTGAACCATTTTTTTCATGAGCTTTTTTGTTTAACACGGGGAGATCTTAAAAAAAACCAATTATATTTATACAAATACGATCACAGTATTCGAATACAACACTTATTTATATTTCAGTCCATGACCCGTGTCACTCAAGCCCGTGTAAATTTGGCACGTGCTCACAATCTGGAAGTTCATTTACATGTACATGTAATCATGGATACACTGGACATACTTGCGATACTTGTAATGAATATAGTCTAACATTTTACGCCTAATATTAATTGTATTCATTCATTAATTAAAGAAATATCAGTGAACTTTAAAATGATAATTATGATTTTCATGATGACGTCATGATGACGTCAGTAGTGTTACATAGTAGTATAGGTCCTGAGTAGGAATTGCCATGTTTAAAAGATCATGTAACACATTTTTTATGGTTTTAAATCATAAATATGAAGCTCAAATTAAGATTTATCAATATTGTAGATTCCAAAAAGCATTATTATATATTAAGATATAGATCTATCTGAATTTAACATTTCATGTAAATAAATTTATGTTATCAACAACATTAGATCCAGATCTATTTCCTATAAAGTTTAAGTCAAACTTTACAATAAGAAATGAATGCATATATTTAAATGATTACATATAATATGCACAAATATTTTCAGTACATATTTTACATATTCTTCGATGTTTGAAAATTGTCTTATTGGCATAATTATGTACATTAATAATACTGCACTTGTTTGTAACGTCGCTTTTCAATGGATAATCGTGACGTTTATAAATATAGTTTTATATACACGGCTGCTGTCGATTCATGAAGAAATCTAAAAATCTTATTTTTTTTCTCTAAAAAATGATGCTTGCTGTATTATAGATTCGTTATAAAGATTGTTGACAGGTTATATGGTCGTATTTTAACGGCTGTTTGTAATATAACCCTCGCCTAGCGGCTCGGGTTATATTTACAAATAGCCGTTTATATAGGGCCATATAACCTGTCAACGACATTTATAAGTAATAATATATAATTTCACTAAGTGTGGTTAACCACTTTGATCACAACATACAGGATCTTATACAAGGTGATGCAAAAACAATTAAGAAAGTTTTAATCAAAATGATTTTTCAAACGTAAGTTCATTTGCAACTGTAAATGTTAACTCGTTTCTGCTTTAAAACACTTTCACACGTATTGTGGCTGACGGGTTGCCTTAAACGATAAGGCGTCAGAATTTGCAGCAATCGTTTATCCCTTTGTGATCGTATGAGCTACTTCATTGGTTTGAATTACTAGACTCTATGCATATCTTAGCTCCAGCATGTGAGGTGGTGTTACTTTGCGTTAAGTTAAACCAAATAAAACCAAACACATTTATTCGTGTGATGCAATATACATAAAACCGATAGTGTCCATATCACCATTTTGCTTCTTGCCAAGAATGAGCTTTAAATGTTTTTTCTTTATTCTAGCATTCAGCAATTGTGTACCAGATCCATGTCTTCACGGCTTTTGTTCTGATCTTGGATCTTCTTACAAGTGTACATGTGACCATGGCTACAATGGAACAAACTGCAATATAAGTATAACAAATTACTTTATTCATTGCAAAACTATCATTTTCATTATCATTTTACATTACTAGTAAATGATACGATTATGTATCAACTCAAAATGCCTTAAAATATTTTTGGCAAGTATCATTCTTCAAATCGAATTGCATGAAACTATGATCAAAGATCAAATTGCTTTCTTCATAGTAGTAAAAGGTAATCAAGTGGTAAGACAAAAGCTTTAGGATCAACATCTACCGGGTTCAAGTTCTACTAAGGACACTGCTTATTTCTCAGGCAGCGAAACTTGCAATATATTCTTTCACGTCAGATAGTTGTAAAATAGGAATCAAATATGGCGGTATAACATTTCGGCGTCATACGATGTAGAAGCTGTATTGGTAAAATAAATGGTAATAGCACAATGACAATAGGTAAACGCCGTTAATTTTGTAAAAGTGTCAAGAACTAGAGTGCACTTAAAGAAAATACTTGTTTGGTTCGGTTGTTTTAAATGGGAATTGAACGCATTTTCTTGTGAATATCGCGGCGGTCGGTCAACTTAACCGGCTTTCCTGGATGATTAACCAAGAATTACAAATTTCTCCGCAAGTGATCACAAATAATTTGTTAAATCAGCGGAGAAAGATATGTGACCATTAGCTCTCAATGTCCAAGATCAACTCTCACGGCAAAAAAACTACTCCTTGCCCGAGGATCGAACCATTTGTCGCAGAAGTAAAAGTTCCGATTTCCTCCCTGTCACTGTATGGGACTGTACATTGGATATTATCGTGTTTTGAATCAAAACAAAATCGAAAAAAAAAAATATCCAAACGTCAGAAGAAAAAAAAAGAAGGAAACAACAACAACAAATCCACCATTTGTCAGCTCATATGACACTGATATAACAAGGGTTTTATATTTTCCCTTAATACATGCCAGATATGACCTACATACTAATATCAACAAAAGTTCAAGATTTACACCAAATATCATATATACTGTGTACACTAGGTGCGAGCATTATTTGCTGCTGTATATGTCATTTGATTGTCTGGAAAACAATTGTATGTGAGACTCATAAAGAAAATTGATTATTTTGTACTTGAGGAAACATTTCTCCTATAAGAAACGGTGATTTCTTCAAAATCAATTTTCTTCTTGATACTTGTAAAAAGTTCATACATGGCCTATTTTAAGGGATATATTGAATCAAACCAAAATCAATTATTTTCATATGAGCTAAAAATAGATATTTTCTTACCTTTGGTAATTTCATCCGTTTGGTTTTGACTCAAAACACGGTTATATCGGGTGTACGGTCCCATACCGTGCAATTGATGTTAGCAGGCGAACCAGAAAAAAAAGAAAATAAATACTGTTTTATAAGTTTTTTCTATGTCGGCGGGTGTAAACAGCTGGTACTGGAAGCAACGCCTCCTACAATTCAAAAGAGGTTTCATCTAAACTTTTAGAGAACCAATTGCGAAAATATTTCCTAAAATATAAGTCCCAGGTCTTGCGACTTGACTCTTTCTAGCAATGCTATTGCTATTTTCGTTTTACTTAATGAATTATTACATGTAAACGAATAATGACATAAAGTATCTTAAGCCTTTATTATGTCATGTCCTTTCCTTTTTCATATGTAAGTGAAAAGAGATACTTTCGTGGGTGTACTAACTAATATCTCTCTATGAAGAAGAAGAAATAGAAAACAAAACAAAAACAAACAAACTATTTTTGTGACACTTCATTTTATATTTTTTTTGGTTTTTATTTAGAAGACCCGTGCCAACTCTTGCCTTGTAAACATGGAGTATGTAATTCAACATCAAATGGGGCAACGTCGTGCACGTGCAACGCCGGATATACAGGATTTTATTGCGATAGTATGATAAAGTTATTTAATTATTTATAACATATAATAATAAGCTTAATTATCTTTAAGAAAAATAATCATGAGATGTGTAACTTTTTAATACCATCTGGGTTAGAAAGCTGGTAATCCAAATAAAATGAGCCGTGTCACGACAAAACCAACATAATGGGTTTGCGACCAGCATGGATCCAGACCAGCCTGCGCTTCCGCGCAGTCTGATCAGGATCCATGCTGTTCGCTATCAGTTTCTCTACTTGTAATAGAGTTGGTAAGCGAACAGCATGGATCCTGATCAGACTGCGCGGATGCGCAGGCTGGTCTGGATCCATGCTGGTCGCAAACGCACTATGTTGGTTTTGTCACGACACGGCTCAAATGGTAATTGTAGTAAAAACCATTTCATTTTAAAGCTGTACGCCTCCAGATGAGCCAAAATTTTTTAAGAAAATCAAACTTGTGAAAAAGGTAGATCTACTAAGATTTTAGAAAAGTAAAAAGTTACAAGATTCAAGTAATAATTTACATGATATGTATGATAAATGACTGATTTTGCAGCATGTATCATCGTATTTCTACTGCGTGACTTACGCAGTAAGAGCTATTTTTGCATATTTTGACCTCTTTCTTGTAATTTTACGTGGATTGTAAGTATGTTAATCAATTGTAAATTACCGTCTTTGTTTACATCACAACTTTTATACTTATAAATACATTTTCAAAATTTTAAGGAATATTAACATAAATGCTGTAACTTACCAACCATTATGTAGTACATGTAAACAGATACTCGTATGTAAAATATTGAATTATATAGCGCCGAAGGGAATTCAATTTTTTAATTATTGGTCAGTTTGAGGCTTATATCTTATTTAAATTACTACAATGAGGTTATAAAACTTTTTCCTGATCTCAAGCTCGAATCTCAGGATTTTCATTGGTCAGTCCACATTTTGAACCCGTTTTTGACCAATTAAATACCTGAGATCAGACTTTAATATTACAATATTGTTTATAACCATCAGTCCAGATCTCGAAATTTCTTGTTACTGTTTAAATCAGTTTCATCACAACCACGGGGGAGGAACTGTTACACGGAGGATGGAGTTCTTATGATAACATGTTTGCAGACCTTATGATAACTGTCACGGAGTTCCATGAAAATGTTGAAATAAGTGGCAGTAACAAAAGTTATCATAAGAACTGCATAGTATATTTTGAGTTATCACAAGAACCTCGGGAAATTTGAAAAATCGGGTATATATTTATTAGCCTTGGCTTTATGTTTGCAACACTCCATTATAATTACGTAATTAAAGTACAGCAACGAAGATCACATGAAAAGGTCAATAAGTACAAATGAGCAAGTAATTTGAAATTTTTACTAAAAACTTCAAGATTTGTTTTTTTAAAAAAGGCGATGAAAATGGAATTAAAGGTTTTTGTAAACATAATACAATATGTAGGGCAAGCTTAATTATCAAAGTTGAATTTAGCATCACAGAAATCCGTAACGTTATCCAGGAACTCCGTGACAGTTATCATAAGAACTCCAAACAAGTTATAATAAGAACTCCAAACAAGTTATCATAAGAATTCCAAACAAGTTATCATAAGAACTCCATCCTTCGTGTAACAGTTCCTCCCCTGTGATAACGCACATTGACCAATAATGCGAAAATAATGCCGAGTATAGCAAGCCGATCGAAATTGAAATTGTATTAATAACATAACCTAAAATGGTATCAGAAAACTATAAAACACTAGTTTACATATAAAAAAGAAATCGTTATTTTGTAGTTCCCAATCCATGTAGCCCAAACCCATGTATTCATGGACTTTGCTTGAAATATGGAACAACTTTTCAGTGCCATTGTTCGAATGGATATTACGGACACCATTGCGAAAAGAGTAAGTTTCAAAGGAATACGCCAAAATAAAATGTGTATTAAACTATCATGTCAAAGAATAATGTTTATAATATACATAATATAGTGAATGAGGTATGTAAAACTACACGTATAATTGTTAAGTATATGTTTCTTGTTCATGCACATAGCGCATTATGATTAAAAACGTGAATAATAGGAAGCGTGTGGGTCAACTTTAGGGCAACTGACAAGGTTAATTGAAACTTGCCATGTACGACACTGGCTTAAGCAATATCCAACATTAAAGAAACTCCACTGAGGTACAAAATCACGAAACAATAAAATTTTAAATTCTTACATAGATTAGCTGAGGCACTTTATATGTAAAACAATTAAGAAATAAACTAAAAAAAAATCGTAATTGTGCTGTTTATAGCATAATTTATATTATTATTAATTATATATGTGAAAAGCGTTGAAACTCTTTTCAATTTTGGGTCATTCTTCACAGTCAGAATAATTATTCTGGAAAAACAGAATGAGAGAATGATCTGAAATTTTATACACAAGTTTAGATCTACATGACATCAAACATTATCCCGAAATATTATTTCCAGTTTTATCTTGTTAAAAACCTCAGTGGAGTCCCTTTAATGCATAAATATAGTGATTTTTTAAAAAAAATTTAAGCATGTGTTCAAGTGGCGTAAATCATCAGATCTGAACCATAACATGGTGGCTGTATATGACAAGTCTATTGTCAAGGCTTGACCGATGTTGCTTAATGAATTAAATATCTATCTTCACACTGTAATCCTTTGTAAAGGTTTTGAAGATCCAAATTCAAATAGCTTGCAATTATCACATGATCAATTAAAACTAGCCTGCGACATTTGGGTGTCTGTCGTTTCGTGCGTTCTTTAGAGCTTCCGTTTTTGTCTATTTCATTGGTACCGGTATTAATTCTTAATAATGTTTCCGTATAGATTCAGGTAATATGCATCTAACATGATTTTGTTAACTATTATTTGTCAACAACAACAACAACAATCACTTTTATTAGAAGCCACGTCACAATAGTAACAATATGACTGATTAACATAAAATAAAGAGTGGGTAACATGATACATAATACAAATTCTACTTTAAACTTTTTTCATCACATGGGGACAGTAATTATATTGTCAAAACTGCTGAAATGTTGTTTATGTTTCCAAATATACATTTATGATTAACTGATAAATAGTTAGTACATGTACATACATGTATGTAATACAATATATATGTTTACTTATAGAAAAGGTGTAACAAAAGAGTAGTATAGAGCATTATGATACTAAAAAAAAATAATAATTAACACATTTTGTTATTATTTCTTCTATAAATTGTATAGTTATTTATCAAATTATCATACATACTAATGAAAACTAATGCAAAGGAATATCAGGTGGCGTGAGAAAATACTAATACGTCACTACAGGTGCACGCTTTTCACGTACATAGACAATACTACGATATTGCAAATATTTACAACCGCTAAGAAAGGCTATAAATATTAAATCGTTCGTTTACTAAGATAGTCAGGGAGCAATATATGAAAATGAGGAAGAACTTGAATTCATTTGGATTTAACTTAGAAAATCGTTAGGCCTGTCTTGTTTAGCTATTAGTCTTAAAGTGTTCAATAATAGAACGTGCTAAAAATACAATATTTTTAAGAAGATCAAAATTTTCTGTTGATAATAATTCCTTAAATTTCAACACGTTTGGTCTACTGAAAAAGTAAGTTGGGATGTATCGCTTTCTTTGCAAACAGAAAAAAGGACACACTAACATATAGTGAAATTCATCACCGACTTCATTTAACATACAAAGATTGCATTTACGCGCTTCATATGGAAGATGTGAGTTGCGCCACCTTCCTATTTCAACAGGTAATTTATGATTTCCTGTTCTAAAATGGAAAAGAGAATGAATGTTATAAAAATCATGAATAAAGGAAAAAATCATTTATTTTCTAATTCGCTCTGCTTAACCGAAAATAAATTATTTATCACCTAATAAGAGTTGTGAAACCTTCAGTCTTAGGCAGAATAAACAACAACACTCAAGTAGGATAAAGGCCTTCGCATTGTTTCAATATCGAGAAAAACAAAGGAGAGAGTTATAAACTTTAACCAATTTAATTATAACGTTCATAATGTCGTAACCAATATACAATATCAATTAACTTTAGCTATGAGAACAGCCTATATATAATCATAAAATATTCGACAAATTAAACACCTAAACTTCTTGACACAGATAATAAATTTTCTATACTGTCTTTCACATAGCCATCTTTGGCTTTCTCACTACGCCAACGACCGTGTCGTTTAAATAGTCTATCTAGTATACCAAAATTAGCAGCAGCTGTACATCCGCCACTTCTCAAACTATGAAGTCCAAACTTGGTCTTATCTAGACCTAAATCTTTTAACATTTCAAGTAAAACCTCTCTGGTTCTAGTGTAAGATAAAGGTTTAGAACCTTTCAAATTATACTCATTACGAGACTTAAGATACAATACTGAACGAAATATAAAATCTTCAGAACTATCGTCTTCGTACAAATTTACACATTTCAAATATTTTTCTAATACAGTGACTGGACATGTAATTAATCCAGTTTTAGCGATTAAACAACTTTTCCCTTCTCTGTAAATATCAGTCTTACTAGTCTCAATAAAAATTGATAAAAAGTCTTCATGAAAAACCAAATCAGATCTTTTAATATTAGACAGTTCTGAAAATCTTAAAAAAACCAGCGTACGCAATAAGACACATAGCAACATTTCTTAAATTCATTGTATTTGAATTATGTCCTAAATAACGAGAAACCATTTGATTAAAAATATCAGACGTTATTGGCTCTTTCTTAGAAACGGAATGACCCAGGATCCGGTGTGCAGCTTCCCTAACCGATTTCACTACAAAACTTCCACAAGGATTAGAATTGGTAAAACCAGCTAGTTCATGCGCCCATTTCACGCCGTAAAATGTTTCATCAACTGTAGATGACGATTTATTACTTTGAATTAAAGAAACTAAGTATAAACCAAAATCAATGTCTTTAGCTGGCAATGAGATTAGATTGTGACGACTTGCCCAAATACTCCAAAGTTTAAATGTTCTCTGGTAACACTTTCCAGTATTAAAAGCTTTGGACTTAAGTAAAACGTCTGGAAGCTTGGAAGCCAGGGAAGACAACTCCGTATCCCGTTGACAATCAGAAAATAATCTTTTACCAATGATATTTCTGAAATGTATAAAAGGAGAGAAAATATATTAACTTGTACATGAATAACAAAATCATAACAACTGAATCCTCGATTCCACGAAATCCTCGATTTCGTTATCAAGCCCTCGGCTATACATTTTGACCCTCGATCAATGTTATGTAATACCATATACCTAAAATGTGTCAAATATCGATCTAAAATGATTTCGCGATAGCATATCTTATTTAAAAATTCAATAACAAACAAAAATGTGTCGAATATCAAACTAAATATTCATTTATGATATAATATCTTATTATCAAAAATTAATAGTCCTTTAAGCAATGTGACCCTCGGTCAATGTCATTTAATACCTTAACGCAAACAATTGCCAAATATCAAACTAAAAATTCATTAGCGATAGCATATCTTATTTTAAAAAAATAAATGGAAAACTTGAAATAAAAGTAGACACAAATCAACTTATTTGCATAGTTCTTTGCACACTTAGACCCTCGGTCAATATCGTTCTATACTGTACACTAACACGTGCCGAATATTAAACTAAATATTCATTTTGTTATAAAATTATTTATTCTCAAAAGTTAAATATCAAACTTGAAATAAAGTTATGCAGCAATCAACTTATTTGCGTAGTTCTATGCACCTTTGAACCTCGGTCAAGGTGTTTAAAATACCACATCACTAACATTAGCCGAATATCAAACTAAATTTTCATTTTATGATAAAATGTTTAATTGTCAAAAGTTTAATACTAAACTTGAAATAAAATTATGCAACAAAATATCTTATTTACAAAGTTTTGTGTACATTTGACCCTTGATCAATGTTATTTAACACCAAATCGCTAACACTTGCCGATTAACAAACTAAATTTTCATTTTGTGATGAAATATCTAATTATCAAAATCTAATAGCAATCTTGAAATAAAATTCTGCAACAGCAACTTATTTACACAGCTGTTCTTTCTTATTCAAAACGCACTACTAAGACTTTGCTTAAAAACTTATCAGAACCAAAAATAGATTTTTGGTTAAAGTATTGTACAAAAATCTCAGAATTTGGTTTAAATGCAAGAATGTCCGCAATTTTGCTCTTTATAACCGCGTTATTACCAAATATCATGGACCAAAAAGGAGCCGCCGGCCAGAATGGAGCTACCAACGTCCCTTTGGCATTACATGTAATTATATGATTAACAGTTCTTGAAATCATGTTTATCGGTGGAACTAGCCAGTTATTTTCTCCTGCCCAGTCCAAAGAAAAAGCGTCCACACCCTCTGTACCCGGTACCCAAACTAAAGAATTGAACCGATCTACCACGTGGTTATAATGATTTGCGAATCTGTCAACCGTATGAGGGCCAAACATAGCGTCAAGAAAATTGAAAAAAGCCAAAGAAACTCCCCAATCATCTAAATCAAACAGCTTACTCAAATAATCTGCGTACAAATTTTTATCTCTGGGAACCCATTGCATATAAATTGATATTTGATTTTTCAAACACAATTCAAACACAGATAACGATATACTATGTAAATCGGATTTCATACTACCGCTTTCAATTATAGATACACAATTTTGATTATCTGTGCACCATTTGAGTAAACGACCTCTTATCAAAGGGAGAAAACTCTGCAAGGCAAACAATATAGCGGTCATTTCCCGCCAGGTAGAACTGGTATTTTGTTCAAATGGAGACCAATTTCTATGGCAAACGGCGGTCGGATAACCTTGTATGTAAGCTGCGCATGCGTGTTGACTTGCATCAGAATAGATTGTTACTGAACTTATATCAGATACAAATAACTTTTTAGTCAGCCTTATAGTAAATGCTTTCTCCCAAAACTGTAACTCTGTAATTACTCCTAAATTCGAAACATCTATAACTGAATTCCAACTAATCCTACATTCAATAGCTCTGTGTAGATTTTTGGTCATGAGCTTACACACATTTCCTAATACTGGAATCAGTGAAATAATTTTACCAGTACACCTCGCCATATCTCGCGCAGACACGAAAGGAAATTTACCTATGATAAAGGTAATACACTGTACTACGCTTTTCACACGCCTATCGGGAATTTCTAAAACATTATCCTTTAAATTCCATAATAAGCCTAACCATTCTAAATTTTGAACTGGAGTTAATATCGATTTCTGAGTATTGATCAAAAATTCCGCTTTGATGAGGACATCTTTAACAAAATCAGCATCTTTAAGAGTACATTCAAACATTTTATTTACTCCACACCCATCATCTAAAAACAAAAAAAAATATGATTTCCTGAAGACGAATGAATTTTACAATAGATCTTAAACATTTAGTCCAAATAAACGGTGCGACGTCAAACCAAAAGGTAATACAGTAAAAACATAATATTTAAGCTCAGCGTTCTCACTCCATGAAAATCCAAAAAAAGTGTGTTGTGCTGTGGCTATATCTATGTGGTGATATGCAGATGAAATGTCAAATTTAAACATAAAACCATCCTTTAACAAATAATCTGACGCAACCTTCCAGTCCTCAAATTTAAAATGTTCCTTCTTAACAAATGTATTCATGACACTTAAATCTAAAATTAAACGCTTTTTTCCCGAACTGTTCACAGACACTGAAAGAGGGTTTACCAAAAAAGGCTGAAAAGGCACTTCTAACACACAGCCAGACTTAACTAAATCAGCAACTGCGTCAGTTACAAAATCTGAATGGTCAAATGCAGATTTATTATTTTTCATGAAATATGATTGAGGAATATTGTTAAAAGGTATGACGTAACCATTTTTTACTACGTCAAAAATAAAATCAGATGCCTCTAAAACATTACACCAATAATCAGCGTGTAATCTCAGTCTACCCTTTACGCCCGAATTTACTTCAAAATTATCATCTTTAGAAACATACTGAAATTCAAAATATCTTGAATGTGAACATAATATATCAGTTTCAACTTCATTTACTGAAAAATTACAAAAAATACTATGAGCTGAAAAATACTCATCTATATCATTAAACTGTCTTTCTTCAGTTTGTTTCGGCTGGCTGTGGCTTGAATGACATTCCTCGGTTATCGCCCTTGAATCCTGCTGGGGACTGGTACGTGATAATTCCCGGGGAAGTTCTGCTGATGTCGGGAACGGGACGATATCTCTGTCCTTGAAACGATGAAGATTGTTGAAACTTTGGACACTCTGCCCTGACATGCCCGAAACCTGCACATGCGAAGCATTGGACTCTCCGAAAGGGACGAAAAGTTTCAAATTGGCTACTAGTAGTAGTAGAAATAGGATTAGTCGCAGAGGCTCGACTACTGGATAACTTTCTCTTCTTTGACAATGCCCTTGCCTCGGCTCTACGAATTTTACGATCATCGTCGCTATCACTTGCCAATTCGTCGGACTCGTATTCTGCGACGGTACCCCACCCAGCAGGGGATTTGTCTGCTAACCTGACAAGTTTATTCCTCTTATGTATTTTCTGCACTGTAGACTCAAGCAACTGAAGCGAACTTAACTGTTCTCCTGACTTCACTAAAGACTGCACGCGCTCAATGTCTTCTAAAACTTCACAATTAAAATCGTACTGTCGCTTGTTTCCTTTATATTTAAAGTCAACAGGTGAGCGTTTACTGGCAGTTTCTTGAAACTTGCGAATGCTTTTCTCTGAACACCCAGAAAATTCCTCTCTTATTTCTTCTTTGAAAGTAGAAAGTTCTTCTTTCAGAAATGATTTAAAATCAATTAAATCCTTCCCATAATTTGAAGGACATTCACCACGTGTACTCTCCATAAAGAAAAATGTGTAACGCGCACAATACGATGTGTTCAATGCAATATTGTCCTCGAGTCCTCAAGTCCTCGAGTGGCGATTTACCCGCCTTTCCATATCAATACCGGCGAGCACGAAATATTCGTGCTAACTATGTTATACCTCACTTAACCGGACAATTATAACTCTTAACCTGCAATAAATACATTTGTTTTTGAGGTCAAATGTGCCTTTAATGTAATTACATTGGCACATTAAATTAAATATATAGATTGAATACTTTTACTGTTAGCTGAAAAATGAAAAATGTCTTATTGTTTTTTATTAATTTCATAATCCAGCTTCAAGCCCATGTGCGTCTAATCCATGTGTGCACGGGACATGTACACATATTGGACACTCGTATAAATGTAGCTGTAACTATGGATACGTGGGACTAAGATGTGATGCAGGTATGTCAACATCGTGTTAATTGTCAAAAGCTTGCTTTAAAGTTAAGATGTTCGAACTAAGTGTCCTTCGTGTGGCTTATTTGTGATACGTAGTATTTCGCTCCGCTGGGCGCCAGGCAAAAAAGAAGAAACAAACAAACAAAAGAAAAACTAAAAGTATGATGGCTGATTTGTGCCATTTGTGTTTTCGCCGAAGGAAAAGTCGAGAATTAACACGTTAAAACGGCGGAGTCGCGTGACGAAAACACGCGAATAAGTGGGGGCGAGGGGCGAAGTTTAATAAATAAAATTACGCCCGTGAGGGGGCCAGACGAGATTTAAGAAATAAAACGGCGGGGGCGCGGAGCGAAAACACGCTGATTAGCACCCCGCTAATAAGCGTGTTTTCGCTCCGCGCCCCCGCCATTTTAACTTGTTAATTTTCGACATTTCACTTGGCGGGGTCGCGGGACGAAAACGTGCTAATAAGGACGGGGGGGGGCAAGTTTGATTTATTCAAGTTCGCCTCGCACCATCGCTATAATAAGCGTGTTTTCGTCCTGCGACCCGCCGTTTTATTTATAAAATCTCGCTACGCGCCACCGCGTGACGAAATTTTATTTAATAAACTTCGCTTCGCGCCCTCGCCGCTGATTAGCGTGTTTTTGCTCCGCGCCTCCGCCATTTTAACTTTTATTTAATTTTGACTCTTCGCTTGGCGGGGTCGCGGGACAAAAATACGCTAATAAGCGGGGGCGCGCGATGAAGTTAAACTTGCCCTGCACCCTCGCTAAATAACGTGTTTTCGTCCCGCGACCCCGCCGTTTTATTTCTTAAATCTCGCTTTGCATCCTGCGGGACGAAGTTTAATTTATTAAACATCGCCCCGCGCCCTCGCTTATTAGGAGTTTTCGCTCCGCGCTCCCGCCATTTTGACTTGTTAATTTTCGACTTTTCGCTTGGCGGGCTCGCGGGGCGAAAACACGAATGGCACAAATCAGCAACCATAAAAGAAAGGTTACTATTTTGTCATACTTTCGCTACGCGGGGCGCCAAGGGAAAACATGACCATAAGACAGATTTTAGGCAAAAAATCGACTCATTTGTTGTATGATCGTGTTTTCGACTGGCGTCTAGTCGGTCTTAAGGCGAAAACAAAATATTGATACGACAAAGTAGTCACTCAGTTGTAATTTCGTTTGACACTTCGCAGAGCGAAATTACAACTGTGCCACCATATCTTAGTGATTGAATGCTTTATAATAAATGGTACAAATATGCGAAATATTATGATGGCTGATATGTGCCATGTCGTATTTTCGCCTCTCGGGACGCCAGAATGAAGCACAAAAATACGACAAAGTCACCACTCTGTCGTACAAGTACAAATGTTGCTGCAATGCAGCAATTGAGAAGCTCCGCGCAAAATAAATGTGCTCATTACAGATACCTTACCAAATTATTCCTACGCACAGGTCATGTTATATTCAGATTAAGTACTATTGTAGATTTTTTCGGAATGTTTAGTAAACCATTTTTTGCATATTTATACTTGTCTTATGCACTGTCCATAATTAAAAAGAGGGGAAAATATTTAATATAAAAAATGCTTTCACTGATGCCTACCTGGTAAGGAAAGTAATTCCATTGAATACAAACAAAACTTACAAGACTTACAAGACTTGTAAATGTTATGTGACATGACTGTACTGTGCTCTGTTTCAGTAACAGAAGATAGATAATAGAAATATCAAAGTCTGTTATAAATGTAACAAATATACAAATAGTAACAAAAGGGACTAATATTATAATATAGTAATATTACATGCGTATTTTTCATGTCAAATTTAAAAAAAAATGGTTTCTTTCAATACTGAAAGTAAAACACACTCAGGAATGAAAAAATGGGATGAATTTCCAAAAGACCAATTTCAGGATTTTTTTAGTTTGTTATACACGCGTTACATGGTGATACAGTATTTATCAATATAATAGAAGACTGTTACCTGGATTTTAGGTAGGTATGAGGAAATTCATTAATATCATATTCGTGCGAGAAAAAGATATGAAAGCTATTTGACATTGGTAATATATAAAAAAACTATTGTTAATTAATTTTTAGGGAGATCAATATATATTTATTTTTGTTGAATTGTTTTAAAACCATTCATAAAAAACATTACACTTCATGTTCAAACTGCAGATCAAAGTTTCTGTTGTTTTCATGATATCTATCTATAGCCTATGCTTAAGGTGATTCCGCTTTGTCAGCCATGTTTGTTTTAACTAAAGTCTGTCCAAAGTGAAAGTAGGCCAAAATTCATATAACAACAAAGCTCTTATTGTAAAATGATGAACCATTTGAAAATACACTTCCAGGTTTATATTTTAAGGACAATTATAAACAAAAATAAAAATGATAACAATAAGAATATTTACCTTGAATGTGCTACATTTCTGAAGACCAAAACATTCTGTTGCAAAGTTTAATGCACATTTCATGAATGGCAAAATCCTTTTAAACGTCTGTTTTAGTGCCAACAAAAGCTATTTTTTTGCAGCAAATACAAAAATCTTTCAAAACTTAACTCCAAATAAATCAGTTTCTCATGTCTTTCTAAGCACATGGCCTCCATTATTTTTTTTTGTAAAAAAGTAGTGCAAGAAAACAATCATCATTTATAGCCTTATGAACTACAATTACAATGAAAACTGAACCAAACTTTAAAATCTAACCTTTTTATGTGTAACAGTGAAGTGTGTCTGTTTGTCATGTACACAAGAAATAGGTAAATGATGTTTATTTTCATGGTACTACTTCTTTACACATGTCATGGAGGCCATGTTTTTTCAAGGTCAGATTAACTACTTTCCTAAGATATATGAGTTTTTTTTTAAGTATTTTGTATTTTCTGCAAAAAATAGCATTTGTTTGCACTAAAATAGACTTTAAACTGGATTTTGCCATTCATGAAATGTGCATAAAGATTTGCAACAGAATGTTTTTGGTCTTCAGAAAAATGTAGCATATTCAAGGTAAATTTCTTATTGTTATCATTTTTTTGGTTTAAAATAGTTTTTAAAACATAGAATTGGAAGTGTACTTGCAAATGGCTCATCATATAACAATGTGAGCTTTGTTGTTATATGAATTTTGGCCTACTTTCACTTTGCAAAGACTTTGTGAAAATAAACTTGGCTGACAAAGCGGAATCACATTACTGAGGGTCCATCCGCTCGTAAGGCTACAAAAGGCAGCTTTCGCTGTCGAGTACAGACCCCCGAACATGTCACCAGGTATACCATTATCACATAGAGGTATGTTGTACCAATGACGCTAATGAAATGTAACTTTATATACTAAAGTTTAATATTTCGTAATAACGAATTGATATTTCGTAAAAACAAATTATTATTTCGTAAAAACGAATTAATATTTTGTAAAAACGAATTAATATTTCGTTAAAACGAATTATTATTTCGTAGAAACGAATTATTATTTCGTATAAACGAATTAATATTTCGAAATTACGAATAAATATTTCGTAAAAACGAAATAAATCCCGGGAAAAAATGGAATATGTCACTTTTATGGCTCCGTATTCCCAACTCCCGAAAAAATACAAAAACGATTGTATCATTGTCTTCGTTTTGTTAAATTTATTTGTTTTCTTCTTCTTTATCTAAATTTAGAATGTAAGAGAGATGTAATCCTATTGTTGGACAGCAAGTTTAATAGAAATGGGAATACTAAAGGGTTTCTTTCTTCTTTTTTCAACAATACGGAAACAATCGGAATCAATGGGATACAGATTGCTTTGGCTTATTACGATACTCAGGTTCATAGCATCTGGGAACTTAACACGTAAGTTAACTTATATAGTAATATAATGGTATTCCGGTGTTTACAGTTTTATGTAAATTATCTAACTTGTTATCCAATCGCTACACTGAGATAATACATAGTCACTGGTTGACCTGGTTTGCACAAAGAACACGTGCTTATGTTTGTGATACTGTTTGTGAGCAGTTGACCTAGCAATCAATGGAAAAGGTGTGGCTAAATGTTCCGCTACGAAAAACCGGAAAGGTCCATAAATTGGCTCAATCAAACCGATCACGTACTTTCGCAATTTTGCCTTGGTAGTAAATGATTAAGGCTCATATTTGCCATTGAACGTGACTTAGTATGCATAAATTGATCTGCTAGTATTATATAAATAACACATTGGTTTGTTGGTAACAGTAAAAATATCATCTCGAGGAAAATACTGTTACTCTTGGTGTAGCCGAGGGTAACCGTATTTTACCGAGGGATAATAGTTTTAATGTTACTCACAAACACATGTGTTATTTATTTGATTACCTCGAACAAATACTGTGATGGTCTGAAATTGTCTACTAAATCTTACTGTAACAAAAATAAACGAAGAGTAACAACTTACCTTTTAAGTTTTAAGGGTACTGTAGGCCTACTTGAGAAGTTTTTTCTCTCTTTTATTCTTTAAGCAAGTGATGATATCTACCAGTCATAAACATACAATAAGCTGTGTTTTATTAAGAAAACAAAACACTGACCCATTTATACGTTTATGATCTGTAAAATCTGATCCTTCTGACTCGTATGATTTTTGACAAAGTGCTTTTACAATATAACGATGATATCCTTTGTCTGTCCACCATATATGTAACGTTTCACTAATAAAAATTGTTAAATAATTTTTTGTTGCATGCTTTAGGCGTCTGCATTTTCCAGTTTGACACATACTTATTCCCATTGCAATTACTTCCGTTAAAAACTGATGTTTACTTTTGACTATTTGACAAAAAGACATTTTAAAAAGCACTCTAGGGTGCAAACAACTAAATTTTGTGGGTGTCATAGTTACACTGGTGATGCCCCATCGTGGTGAACTTCGAAAATAAGAATGAGTCGAGAAAAAATTGCAGCCATTTTATTTCATTTTATTTAGAAAATAGATCAAGTGACCAGATTTTATACTGTTACAATGTACTATTACCTATGTAACATTGTACAATTCTTAGTCACGTGGTACACTTGCAATAACAGTAAGAATAACTCCAAGAGGCCTATGGGAAATTAACATTTCGAAAAAAGTGAATGGTTATAATATAACTTGTCGCCTTATTATTCTTTATCTTGTTTCAGACATACGGACAAACGCAGCCTTCTGCATGATCTTTACTACTTGAATCTTCCAAAATCCAATGTTACTTCCGACTTTTCCATTGCTGTGTATCATTTACTTCAAAAGTACTACGGTATAAAACTGGCTACAGGAGCAAGCGGTGAACGCCCTCGTGTACCGGATGTAGCTGTTATAATGACCGGAAGTACAACCGGATACCGATATTCTCAAAATAACATTCGTCATCAGTTATTATTGCTTAAATCACTAAATGTATCTACTATCGTATTTGGTATTGGCGACGCTGTGGATCATAGTGTTACTCAGGACTTTGATCACTCGATATATAATTCTGACAATTATGCTTTTGATGGTTTTTATTTCGGTAAACAAGTGTTGAGCCTTGTTTGTGGATGAAACCTTATGAAAGTTATTGAATTCCAAAACAGATTTAGATATGTTGTTGTTGTTTTTGCTTCTATAAAATTTGTGATAGAATATCTGACTAATTTAAACGAAACTACTGTAACGTTTATTTTTTTCAAGAGGTCACTTATTATTTTTATAATGATTCCAGTGGATCAGAAAAAACTACCAATATTAAAGTTAAAATGACATTATGCCCATCCAAATGGGAATGACGAGTGCACAGGAGAAAGTAAAAATAACCTTATTTTGCCTATAATTATGTTCAATTTCACATTCTACACGCTCCACACTATTCCTTTCCTCTAAAATCAATATAGGATATATTATGAGTGTAAGTTTAATACTGAATTTATTGAACGAGATGAATAAAATTATATTACAATTAAATTCAGTAGTGAATTTACACGAATTTAATATTCTATTTATTACATACCAAAAATACCGTTTGAAGTGAAGAGAACCACTTTGTATTGACGGGCCTATAGTATAACGCTATCATATAGCGCGACTTGACCTTATATTAACGTCAATGTGTCATTCAATGTAAAATGAACTCTATGCATAGGTGTTCGGCGTGTTGATTGGTCACTACCCCGTGCCATCCTCCCCCGTCTAAAACTCTCCTTCCTCTCAAAACCATGTCAACTGCAATAAATATGATCAAATTATATTATTATTTGTAATAACTGTTCAATCCAAACATCATATAAAACTATAACGAACCGTTTTTTTCTCGATTTGTTAAATTCTCCATCCCAAATGAAAGTACACATGTATAAACGGATGCATTCGTATGGAGTATTTTCATTGGTCGTGTATAAACCTTAGACCAATGAAAATACTCCGTACAAAAAATAAAGAGAGCACTCTGCAGAACAATTACTTGCATTTAGATTTGGAATTTGACATATTGGAAAACGGTTTGTTATAGTTTTATATGACGTTTTGATTGAACAGTTATTACAAATAATAATATAATTTGATCATATTTATATGACTTATGCAATACAAAAAAATATTCATTCATTTCGAATAAACTGCCGTTTAGTCGGGTAATTTTGACAAAAAGCCAGCGTTCTGTCGACTAGCCTAATTAATTTGGCGTGAACGGTTTGACCCATTTTACAGACTTTTTTTCTTACTGTCAAACCGTTACGCCTAATTTTAACTGTCATTTTTCATTTTTACGCACGGAAAATTTACAGGCAACACTATCGATAGTTTGGACTGACTTTCACTGCTTAAACCTGAAAGTAACTTCAATGTCCTCTAAAGATCAATAGAATATAAATTCTAGTACTAACTTCTCCTAGAAAAAATATTAGATTGCACCTGTCTTAACGCATACATGCGATTTATTTCAAATTTTTACTGTCTTATCTATCTTCGGCGGACATGTTATGACGTCATCGTAAAAAATCGATTCGGTGAAAGCTGGTAGTAGCTACCAGTGTGTCTAGCAGGTAAGTGTGGGTTACGCATGAAGATTAAATTCAAAAATATCGGGGGAAATAAGTCTATTCATTATTCTTTAATAAATTTGTGCATTATTTAATACTATTTAAAAGTATCAATGTATTTAATCTAATATGCAATGGTAGCAAATAGGCTCCACACAAGTACTGTTGTTTAATATTTTTTAAATGTTTTAATACATGAATTCAACATTTATCAATAGGTGGTTTGCCTTCTTGTTTACTGCTAATGACTGCCAAATGTCACTCTTGGGTAAAATACTGACTTCATTTATACATGCTTATTTATATGACAATTAAGAACGTGAAAGAAATATTGAAGGAAACTATTTGAAATACACTTCAAATTATTCAGTATTTGTACAAATAATATTTCAAGAGTTCTTTTTCACCGCTTGCCGATATATAATACTATATCAAACTTACTGATAAAGTTAAATGTCTTCTTGACATACTTTATTGATTTACTAAAAAGGAACTTTATTGTGATCCAGCCATATGCTGTGTAACTATAAGGGAAGGGTCACATATTTTAATTGAAATAAATTTTAAGTAGCGGATATTTAAAAAAAGTCATTGAGAAGATCAGAATTTTCAAATGAACAGATTAAGAGACTTATACATGTATAAGGTGTATGTTTTGTTGTTTCATACTGTTTTTGGTGACACCTTTTTTGTGTCCCTTGTTGTTTTCTTGTCTATGGTAAGTATCTTCCCTTTGCCCCTAGCTTTATTTCGCCCCCTCCCCCTGCCCCGAATTTCCCTTCCCCTTCCCCTGTGCCCGTTTACTTAGTGGTCCTATTAATCATTCATTTATTTTCTTTGATTTCCTTCTCAGTTAGATTTTAGTGATAAGCCTAACCGTGCTCTCCCTTGCGCCCTGTCCCGTTTTTGTTTAGAATCCTCCTGGGCTCCTTGCCAATGGTTCTTGTTCCTGGGTCGTGTGGGGTTGCGTTCATTGAACGCCGCCTTTCCTTGTTCATCTTGTTTATCATATTTTATGTATACCGAACCGTAACAAACAGATAATGATTATCAATACAATAGAGAAAATAAGAATCCCCAAAGAAAGTCCAACACGTCAAAATTGAAAATGTTGCAGGCTCGGTTTGATTGAGCCCGTTCATGGACGGTACAAGGTTTCGACAGGCAAACAAAGAAATGTAAAGAAAACAGAAAAAACTTATCCACATATCCACCTCTAAAAAAAAAAACACCAAAAAAAAAAAAAAAAAAACACCAAAAAAAACAAAAAAACGCCTGAAACTGCAAAACCGAAACATAAATACATATGAGTGCCAAAGACGGCTCTGGTAGGTGCAAGTGCTCCCTTGCGCCGATTTAAACAGAATTCACCACTAAATCATAATAATGTTGACATTTTTAATCAACACCCACAGATGAGGTAATCATAGAACTTTCAATGTGACACATTCGAGGTGCCGTTTAATGAAAAGCGGGAACTAGATAACATGGAATTATAAATGGGTATCAGAGGTTTTGGTGTCATTTTGCTACAGTCGTTCTAACAGACGACTACAGTAATTTAAACAGACTATTTCTCCAATCTGTCTTGCATTGTTATGCTATTCTACGTCTAAATAACGGTCACTAAATTGCCGCTTCCTGTGTTTTTATCATAAACCCCGTCATATCTGTGGGACAATTGCATTTTACTGAGGACTCTCTGAACTTCCATTTTATAGTTTGAAATTCAGAATTTTAAAGTTATTTTTGGTTGTTTTGAACTACACAACTGTCCTCATTTTTTTTAAAGATAATAAACTAGAAATTGATATTGAGTGTAATATAAATTGAAATTCTTCTTTGCTTCATCATGTACATGTATAATAATTTTAATTAAATAAGATGTACCTACAATTACATTGTATTTTCGTATCCTGGAAATCATGGCAGGGTTATAAAATAAAATGACAGTTTAGAAATTTCACCTAATGACCACAGACGTTAAAAATCCAACTTTATAATTTCAACTTTGACAATTTTAATGGACTTAAATGCAGTATGATCTGACGTCGGACATCATAAACAATTTAAGTAAAGTTATCAGAGTTTCCTTTTCACATTTTATTTTGAATGCTGAAATGTGTGTGAATAAAAGAGTTATTCCTGCAATAATTCATATAAATAACATAAACAAATTGTATAGTGAAACTTGTCAAATACAATCGATTGCCGCCTCTACCTGTGTTACAGCATGGAAATTTAACAATTTTACCATGACACCGCCTGTGTCATTCCTTCTATATCTCCAAAATGGCCGCTTTCAATAATTTTCAACGATTTAAAAAATTAGAGTGGAAAATTTAGACTTCTGTTGGACTTTGAAGTATGATAATTTGGAACCTTGCATAAAAACGGTTCTCTTTCAGGTAATGTAGACCGTTTCTTTGAAACTTTTCTAGTTTTCGCTTCCAACAACTTCTAATTGGGAAGCGTCCGTGCATACAAATGCAGTTCGTGACTGGACTTGGAAAAAGACAGCGCCCGTCCAAAATTATCTCGGTGTCTCTTTGACAAGTCTAATTAGTTGGACTATCTGTCGACTTACAGTTGCGGTGACTTCGAGATGACATATCTTCTTTAAAACTGAAATGATTGTAATGACAGCTTTAATTCCTTTAAGAGTAATCAATTCCCTACCATTTGGTACCACGATATTGAAAATTGGTGAAAAAATGTTGGAATTATGGAATTCATATTAAGATGAGTGCTGAAAAATGAGAGGCGAGTTGCATACCTTTACTAAATATATTATACATATCATTTTTTTTTTTTTTTTTGTTGAGATGAAAGTAAATGAATTAAAAGCATATACCACATATTAAAACATGTTTAAAATGAAAAATACTGCAGTTTACATGGTTTTGAGAGGTAGGAGGGTTGATAAGTGGGTGGGGGGGGGGGGGCGGTTGGCCCGGAGGTAGTGACCAATCAACGCGCCGAACACCTATGCTCTTATGTAGAATATTTTTTTTAAAACATAAGGGGCTAATTACTCTTACAAGCCTCTGTATTAAGGATTGCAATAGTTTTCTCCCCTAGACTTATTGTTCTATTTATACTCCCTTGACAACTGACAGCACCCCCTGATTTCGTGACAGGAACAAAATGTCGTTTGCAATTATTTCTTTAAGGTGTGTAATAATCTTATGAATTAAAAATGTATTTATAATGTTTAATGTTTTCTCCCGTATGAACGCAGATGTTGTCAACTTGTGTTTTACCCTGGGGATGGCTGCAACAACATAAGCTATAGTATTTATGACCTGACATATATACTATTATACTATAATATTATTACAATCAGGCAAAGAGTAAATGTAGCAAACAAACTTTGAATTGCAAGTATTTGTTCATATCTTTTCGGTAGGATAAACTGTCCGAGGAGGGCCATGCATTTTCGTATGATGCAGCCGTAAAATGGCTGCCATTTACAGTATCAAGTGATTATCCCAAGCACCACCGCGACTTAGCGCGGGAATTATAAATATAGCTAACCTCGGCGCGTCGCATAG